TACCTTGTGGGCCATTATGGAGCCTTTTCTTACCCTGTTCTAGCACCACCATATAATTCAGCAGCACCTTCATTTATTTTCAATCCTACAAGGGACACTTTTTTTTCCTTCTGAGAAATATATATTTTGACTGCTGTTTTAATGAGCAGTAAATATGATGGACTACAGACACAGCACTTTGCTCAGGTAGGTATATGGCAATGTATATCCAAAACAGACATACATTATTACATGGAATTGATGATGAAAATATGCACATTATAGAAAACAATTTTAATGAATATGTCAGTAAACCAGAAATATATATAATATACATATTTCCATGTATATCCTCCCATACATTTTTTATAGAAGCACATTAAGAATCAGTTACTGAATGGCACTTGAGTAAGTAGTTTTATACATTGGATCACTTTCAGAATAGTAGTTAGGTTCCGTTCTGTACATGTCTTGTTATTCTCTTTAATCTATCAGTCTCCATACTTAATTCTTAAGGTGCCTATTGTGGCTGCAAATCTTATTTATAAATGTTCATCACAGTATCTATGTACGTCCATACCTAACAGAAATTGCCCATGAGAGACTTACATTTGTTCATTAAAACATTGATGTCTATATATTAGCTAATGTTAGACAAATTTAGGACATGAATGCTGGGATGTAGCTGGGCAGGACTTGAGAAAAATATTTTCTCCGTAAACTCTGATACACAATACTGCAAAAAATGGCCTAGGATAAAATTTGGTATATAATTTCTAAGAACTGCCACAGAACCTTTTGCATCTTTTCAGAGTTTTCATATTTTAAAACCAAATAAACAAAACATTTAGCATATGGAACGTCTCTAGTGAAAAATTACTTCTGGAGTAGATGCTGTATACTAAGGCACCTTGTAGTGCAAGGAGTAACTAAGCAGAATCAGGAAAATATGATTAAGGCAGGAAAGAAAATAAAATATTTAAAGGGAATTCACAAAGATTATCTAAATTTACTTTTCACAGAATACCAGCAATGAAGAAAGAGGGAAGTTCAGTGAGGGGATTCTATCTGACATCCTGTATTTCAAATAAAGCATATAAAATTGGTTAAAGCTGGTGGGCATTTTTTGGAAGAAGTCCCCAGTGGAAGAGATCCCTTGAGGAAACTCCCTATTGATTAGAATTACATTTCTGTGTATGCCAACACAGGAAGCAGGTGGCTTTTTTGACTCCAGGTTTATAACTACCACAAATGAAGGACTACATAATGAAAATAATCATAATCAAACACGTGCCAGTGTTGGCTTGGGCTATGTGTCACAGTTTGCTTTCAAACCATACAGTGCTAATAAAAGATGACATCTTGCGCTGGAGCTTTGGCTCTGAAAAGTGCCACAGAAGAACAGGGGCATAAATATATTTATCATTACTTTTCAAGGTGCAAGGAGAAAAATTACTTTGTGGCCAAAATTCTATTTGGCAGAATTTTTACCTGAATTGAGAAGTAATTTTCTGAAATGTCGAGATAATCAGATTTAACCAGGTAGTCTTAAAAGCTGCTCACTCTCCTTTCAGGAAATTGTAACTGCTTTTTATAAAACATCATATGAAAATACTCCAAATGACAAACTACTGTTGACTGTATGAGTTATCAGTCAGAAAATGAATATGAGAAAGCAGTGAAATATGCAGCAGAAACAGCTATGATTTATGCCAGTGCTGTTATAATCACATCACAGCACAGATTCCTTCTGAATAACTCAGTTTAATACTTTGTGTACTCATATTTATCATAGGTCTGTGCAGACACAGAAACAATGTTTTTATCTAATTATGATGTTTGGCTTGAAATACATTTAGCACAGATGACAGTTTTTAACCACCAATTTCAATTTACATATTTAAGTATTATTTAAGGATTAAATGACAGCAAACAAGCCTTACAGCCTACACAGGGTTGTAAGGCTTTTGTCTGGAAATCATAAACATAATGAGAGCCATTATCCCCTATACACTTGTTCATGAAGACTGGGGTGAGTTTGGGGTTTAGAAAATTTGTGAAATTTTGACTGCAATTTGTCAGGGCATGTTGGACAAAATCTATTCACTTACTGGAAATGTGAGAGGAAGAAAGAATTTAAATATTATTGCACTGCTTAAATAACTGGAACATTTGAATAACTGAATAACGGTTAAAATAATGAGTTAAAGAATTTGGCTTCCTTCATTTCAGTTTATTCGTAATTATGCACTTATAAAGACAATCCACAGTCAATTCATTAGTAAGTAAGAAAAAAACTTAAAATACCATGAGCACAGTATTAAGTATAAGACTGAGACTGCCTGAAGATTTACTGAAGATACCACTGCAACAAAATATTAGGCAAGACTTCTCAGAAACTGTTTTGTTTCCAAAACATGAAAATGTCATAAAAAATAAGAATTAAAAAAATTAATGATATTCAGCAGATTTCTCCTCCAGGTACTTGTCCAAGACATTCTGTGAATTCATTAAAATATCTTGCATCTGCAGGGTTATTCTCTGAGCTGTTCTGAGAGAAATACAGAAAGAACAGTTCAATCTGACACTGAACTCTGAAGTCTAGGAAGTATGGCTTTAAGTTAATCTTTACACAAAAAGGAGTGGTTGAATTTGGTATGAGCAGCAGCAAAATAACAGAAGAGAACATGTACAGGAGAAGGACCACTAAGAGGGTTGGAGCATCTCTTTCATAAAGGCAGGCTGAAAGAGTTGAACGTGGAGAAGAGAAGGCTCCAAGGAGATCTTATTGCTGCTTTTCAGTACTTAAAGGAGGCTTATACAAAAATGGAGAAAGAGCTTCTCCCAATGCCTATAGTGACAAGGGACAATGTTTTTAAAGTAGAAGAAGGTAGAGTTCAGATTGGACATAAGAAAGAAATCTTAAAGGATCAGGGCGGTGAAACAGTGAAACAGGGTGCCCCATGGAGCTGTGGATATCCTGTCATTGGAAGTGAAAAGATAATAGCTTGTACTGATTTTTCAAAAAAAAATTGCAAAAAAATCCTAGAAATTATAAAGAACTATATGTAAATATTGTTTTCATGAATGGTATGACCTTTTTAATAATGTTTTTTTCTTTAATACTGAGTATGTTAATTCACAGGACACTTGCTAGGACTTTTGTATATCCTTAATTCACAAATGCACACGTAAATACTACTTAGATATGAATGATTGAATTAAAATCATACTAATGTTTTCCCTGTCCTCATTGGTTTTTTTCACTTTTTTTTTTTGAAAGCAGGGTTTGCTTCATATGAACTTCATAATGTGGAAAATAACATTTTTAGCTTAAGTGACTATACAGATCTAGTTTGCATTTCAGTATATATGAGATTAGCAATATTGTTGAAGAACATTGCCAGCACAGACATAATTTACACTTGTCATCATCATAATAAAGATATCTGAATAAATTTTTGGCTAAGAGCACTACAGTCTTCATCTTTCCATAAACTGATGGAGACTAGGTAATGTTTTTTTCTATTTGAACACCTACTAAAACATGGTTGACACACTTAAATTTCAGACATTTCACCTTATGGCTTGTTTGATAATTTGAATTACAGCAGTCTCTTGGATTATGTTGCTTTCTATTGTATTGTTTCTTTTCTTTTCTAATGCAACTGTCATCCTTATCTCACGCTGCCTAATGCCTGATAACCTAACAAAACAATGTCCTTTTTTTTAATTCATGGTGTAATGCTTTGTTCTAGCATACAATACCATACACATAATACAAGAAGGAATGGGTTCAAACTGAAAGGTTAGATATACAAAAGAAATTCTTTACTATACTTTTATATATATATAAAAATATTGGAAGGTGGGGGGAAAGCCACACTTTTTTTTTTACTGAGCTACTGTATTTTAATTCTGTTGTACTGGTATTTTAGTGTAATACCTTCTAAACTGATAGTCACATTTCACTGATTAATTATACAAGACTATTTGCTTAACAAAAAGAAACAAGGTTACATAAGTGTTTGAATTTAAAATTCATCAGTTTGTGCAAACAAACAGAATGGAGTGGGAATAATAAAAGGGTTTGGGTTAGTGGAGTAATGAGGTGGGAAGGCTTGACTTACGACAGAGCATAGGAACAAATTCTGGAGTCAAAAGGGCATTTTCAGCAGTTGGTGGTGGCAAAGTTGCAGCATCTCAAAGGAAAATAGGTATTGAAGAGAAGTGGAACTTGGAAGAAAGGTTTCACCATTTCGCTCAGAAGAAAGATTCTACCACTAACAGCAGCATCGAGCAGCAGCAGTAAAGCCTGAGCACATTGTAAGACTTGCCAGCAATTAGTGCAAATGCCAACATATGACATACTCAGGGTCTCAATGGTTTTACTGAGCCTTGGATGTGCAATAATACAATATGGAAGTTGATTCCATCTTATTTGCTTGATAAAGCAAACTCTTTCATCAGTTCTACTGAGTTTTTTTAAGGCTGACAGGAAAAGCTGATGGGTGAGACATATAGACTATGGTTGGCTTTTCTTTTTACAGACATCTGAACAATAATAGCTAAAATATAAACTGGGAATTGTGCAATTGCTGTAATAGCACACATTCCTGCCCATGAAACAAGAGAAGAGAATAGAAGATTATTTTTGAGCTCACAGATGAAACTGAAACAAAGAAAATTATCTTTTCCCAAAACCAAGGACACACTAGCAAAACAAACCATCAAGCTGAATCAGTGTGGGCTTTCATGTGAAATTAAAGAATAAAGATCTGATGCTTGTTTCAGATGGGTATCAGTATAGATTTTTCAATAACGAGCAAATAACAGAATACTATTTCTCACATAATTAGAAATCAGTCCTGAATTTCAACTAAAGCATGAGAGATTTGACAAGAGATAATCTGTTACTATAACAAAGAGAAGAACACTTGAAGGATGTACTACTTATCTGAAAATATTAGAAATAATGAGGAATACTAACTGTGTGATGGAAAAATTTCTTAGAACTTTACCTTTGTGGCAGCATCAAAACAGACAAAGCCCATGCTGAAGTCAATGGTAAGTCCCATAAGATGACTCTCTAAAACACAGGCATACGTCTTGCACTGTAAAAGAAAAATCAGAAAGGGTAGTTACCATAGAAGACATTCCTTAAATGCTTTTCTAGGACCACTCTTTCTGAGACTTTATTCTAATGTTTATGTACCTCAAAATTATTATCAGAAATGAGTAATTAGTGTGTAAATATGTCAGGTTTTTTTATTTCAAATAAAAGGATTTTTATCAGTGATGAAGTTGTCTAAGACTTATGAAAACAGGCTTTGCTTCCATTAGGGAAAAACTGAAAGGCTCAAAATTGCCTCAGTGCCTTACTAATAACATTTTCTTAAAGGAAAAATTTATTATTTTCAAACCTCCTTAATTGTTTTTCATATGCAACAACTTTTAAGATTAATATAATCCTTTTATCTTATCAAGGAAAAAAAAAGCATATATAAAGTATGTCTTTAGTACACTGTTTCTTGTGGTTTTCTGTTGTCCTAAATCTCAGGTAAAAAGCTAGTATTTCATACCATTTAGCAGCTAATGGAATTATCTGGATTTTTTTTTTTTCTGATAGTGGACCAATATGTGTCAAAGGTTTCTATGAGAAACCTTGGAATTCTGAAAGACTTTATCATTCCACTGTCTTTAAATATATGCTTCTATTTATTCCCATAACATCACACTTGAATACACATTGTGTGACATTTATAAGTGTGATTTTTAGAATCAAAACTACTGTTGTGCTTGAAGGCTGACTGCAGGTACAAAATGACAGACTTGTCTTTTTCATCACAAAATATGTAAAAAAAAATCAAAACATTTCCAAATCAGATGCAAGTTCTTTAAAGAAATTATTCTTATCTTATAGACATTTTGCCCTCCAGATTATACAGCTATACTCTTCAAATATTGCTGTAGCTGCCAAAATTATGAAATGAGAACAAAGACTTCCATGACCTATAATGTGGCAGCAAAATCAGAATGTAAATTGCAAATGTGGGAAAAATGTGGGCTACAAATTATAAGTGCTACAAAGAACCTATGATTATTTTTGGCATTTTGATTATGAAGATAAATCAGATGCCTTTACATATATATTCTTTGGAGGGGCTGTTTGGATTCTTAATGGTCTTCCTTAGAACAGAGAAAGCGGAAAGGTGCATTAACATCTTCTAAGAAGAAAATGCAATGAAGGAAAATTGAAAACTTCATACTTAGTGTTTATATTAACAAATAAATGTGGCTTTTTATTTTTTTTCCCTTTGATCAGCTACACCATGAGACTGCTATGAATGTGCAAAATTTGATTGTAAATCAGTGCTGAAAAAAAAGAGGACATTGCCTTTGGTATTATCTCATTAGTAGAAGAGAAAATGTAAAGTAATATATTTCATAGTTACTTACCATTAATTAAGTCACATATGCAAATCTTTTCAAGTTTTACAAAGCAAAAAATGTACATTTTTGTGGAATTATCTTGCAAACATCTTACAAGATGCAAATCACATTTTTATTTGTAAACGTTAAAGATCTGGAACAGACTTAGAGCCTTTACTGGAAATTAAATTTGGCATGGAAAAGGTGTATCAGATTTAAAATACATATTGTCATCTACAGTTCTCTAACCTCCCACCCCAACACCAGAGGCCAACCCACAGTGTGCACTGCAGCCCCATGCTGAGCTGACACAGCTCCCTCTGCTTTTCAGCCCAGAACTTGGACTGGCTAATTAGCCTCACTGGGAACTTAAGATTTATGAGAAACAGGACATACCAGCCTTGGTTCAAGGTTGTACTGAAAAAGCAAACTACTTCCAAGACTGAAGGGTATTTCTACAAAATGCAGTGCTCAGTTTGTGCTCAATTTGTATCATCTAGTTCAGCTCAGTGTAGTTCTTTGCAGGAAGAAACTGCAGATCACTAGTAGCAGCTGATTATTTAGTTGTTCTTTACTTATATAAATATAAGACCATTCTATGCCCTCACACTATGATGTCCAAAACAATTTAGAGAAGAAAAAAACGTGAAAATAACAAAAAGATCTCTGGGCAGTGAGAGTTTCGTTGCCTTGGGGAAGAATGGCCCTTGCTTTTTGCAGGTGTTTTATCCACTTGCATATGATTCTGGTGACAGGTCAGAGTAGGGATGTGAACTTTCAGACACTAATTAACTCTTGTAAGACTTTTCTCCTGTTTATTTTAAGTTGCCTTTTAATTCAGATATTTGGAGAAAACAGAAAGGCAAAAATTGCTATCAAGGTACAAGATAATTTAAGATTTTGTATACAGTTAACTTTTTAAAACTTTAAAAGTGACTACAAATAATATATACTGTGGATATTTGGCTTCGGTTGCTGATTTCTCACAAGAACTCATGAAAACCTTGTGAGAACTGAAGCATCCCCTTCCCAAAAGAAGCAGAATACACTTCAGCAGTCATTTGCTGTTCTTCCACAGAATACAAAATGTTTACTTTGGTTTATTAATAATTCAATGGGTCAGGCAGAGGCTGAAGGAGACAACTCGAAGTTGTTCCTTAGAAACTATTCCCTCAACATGCACAGTTTAAATTACGGAAAGAACAATATATTGTGAACTTCATGTAAGCCATCTCTGAACCTGAAACAAAATTAACTATAAATCTAAGACCTAATTCAGACTTTTAAACTGAAGATTTAAACTCAGATTCAACTTCAATGAAAACATATGTTAAAGTACTGCAACATAAAACAGCTTACATAATAATCCTTACATTAGAGAACAAACAACTACAGTACAAGCAAGGACAGCAAGAAAAAAATTCATGATGCAAGAGGTGAAGATATTAGCTGAAAGTAGCAGGAACACAAAGGGAATGTGACAGGCATATATATAATTGCACATCATTATGCAAGTTATAATAGTCTCACATTCTTTGTGTGACAATACTGTGAGAGAGTAAGGAAAAAGGATTTTCATTTCAAGTAATTTTTTAAATAGGTAATTATGAAAATGGATTACCATCACTTACTACATTACAAAACTAATTAAAGAGTGACTGTAACACACCAAAATGACATCACTGTAACATTGTGCCTTGTTATTGCTAAATTATCCATTTTTTTACTATTCGTCTTCTAATATATTTTCTAAGAAAAACCAACTGTTCAATTTTTGGTTTAGATATACCTCTGGCAGAAGCTATGAATTAGGCTGAAACAGAATTCATTACATATTTATAGTAATGCATTTAAAAAATATTTGAATTTGTTATATATTCTTTGGAGTTGGATTAGAATTGGCCCCGATTAACCTCTTCTGGAGGTTATAGCCATGGAGTAACAGTTATTCATTGCATGATTATGGAGTAGCACACAACATGGTTGAATATTTTTAAATGGTAATTTTAAACTGAAGGTATATTTTCAAAGTTATGTTATTGTATTGTAAGACAAACCTACTGGATTAGCATTCACTTTAAATATGAATATTCATATCAACACAATTGCATAAAGCAAAATTTTAGAAAAAATGTACCATTGATACCTTAATTTTGAACCTGTCACTTTTTTTTTCTCACAGAGCAATGAAAGAACTTGTAAGAAACAAAGCATGCCACCATATTTTTTCTGCATCTGCAGGTTGGTAGATGAAAGCAGTAATGGATGGCTAAAAGAAAAATGAGACCAAACCCAGTTATATTTAAAATATTCTATTTTTTTTTCCAAATCAAGATACAGAAAATAAAGAAAAAGAAAAGGTGAAATAATGAGTGTGAGTTCCACAATAATGTTCTATCATAAGAAGTCTGTTTGTCCACTTTCACAGATCTATAATCAAACAATCAACCAATCAATGAGGAAATAATTAATTTGAGTTCTTAATTGCTACATTGAACATCAGGAGAGACAAAAAAAGGTGAGAAGATTAAGACGAATCTGAGATTAAGATTATAAAGGAAACTATTTTGGAGAAGCCTGAAGGCAATTTTGAATAAATGCAATTCTAAAATTCAAAAGAAAAATCTAAACCAGGAATGCTATAGTATGAATCAATCTGAAAGTAGAACAAATATGAGGTGGCTTCTGAGATAAATGTTATTCAAGAAAAATGCTGTATATTCTTTTACTGATGGCAGAGCAGTGCTACTATAAAGTAGGTTGCAGTGAATTATATAAGAAAGACAACAATTCTCAAATATTTAGTGGCAGAGGACATACATTATTGCAAGTTTTACATAGAAAACGTAGTCTTAGATTTTCCAGTATGCAAGTACAGCTTAAAAGACAAGAATAGTTTCTATAAAAGGTAACAGCATATATGAATTTAAAAGAGGAAAGCCAAACCTCCCCTGACTCCTCTTGCAACATAAGTACTGTGAGTTAAAACTGACACCAGTGTAGTTTTTGCATATTGGATCTTCATTAGTATATACCAATTCAGTGCATCTGCATGTGGTGGTTTGCAGGTCAGAAAAGGGCTAATATATAACTAACTAACAGTTTGTCTGAATAAAAACATTGCATTCCCAGGAGGACACAGAAAATGAGCCAATACTTGCACAGCATAATACACTAATATGGCTTGGGTAGGTGTGTGTAACTCCTGCCAGCATCAACTAAAGCTGTTCTAACCACATGTATATTCCATTGTTAGAAAATCAATATTGCAATTGGGATTAGGTGAATTAAAATTGTGGTGGATGGCTTTTTTCTCCTTTTTTATGTCAAAAAGTCATGACTTTTTGTTCATGTGAGAAGTCATCTTTAAACACTCTGATATGGAATTTTGCTATAAAAAGTCACTAGTAATCTGTATTTGAATGCTGTCCATCTCTGCACTGTCACCTGATAACAGAGTAAATACACAAGGAACAGGAAATACGTGAAGAAAGAATAATGCATCTGAGGTACAACTTTTGTTCTTGCTTGTATCCAGTGAGTACTTCCCTCAGTATACTCTCATTCCTGGTATTACAAGGACTATTAATTCCTGCAAGGTTTTTCAGTAACAAATAAGGTAGCATGTAAGCGAATAAGAATATCTAAACACTTGCATTTTGTCCCTGAACCGTAGATTGTTTTTTCTTCTCTGTCCGTGAACTTCAGTTAACAAATATGTATCATGTTGTCATAATAACTCAAAGATTGTATTTCAGGTGACCTCTTCTGAAGGCTAGCTTGCAAGCTGTTTGGGAACAGCAAAAGCAATTACTTACATAAAAGAGTAACAACTTGAGAGCTGCAGAAGATCATAAAATTTCTCAAAATTCCATCATTATTTCATATGGGCCTAATTTGTTAATGTATTAAAACATGATCAACAAGGCAGTTGTGCTCACCTGTATCCGTTCAACTTCTAAAAAAGTTGCAGTTTGGAAGGCTTTTTCCCATAGTGTTAGGTCAGACTCTAGTTCCACAGAAAAGTAAAGATCTTCTCCAGATTCAGACTGGACACTGAAGCAATGTTTCCGACGGTCCAGTAGATCACTGTCCTGATGAAAACCTGAAGTTATATAATCTGGCACACATCAATTAATATTTTTAATTGCAAACATTTATGTGTCAAACCCAGCATTTTTAAATGGCATTTTAAATGACAGGAATAACCACAGTCGCTGAGGAACTGAGAATCAGGGGTTTGGTCTAAACATTGACACTTCAATGAATTTTAAAAACGATGCCTATATTCAGAATGGTACAGAACAGCATATCTCAGGCAGTAACTTTAAATATTTTAACAAATCACTTCTCAAAAATGTTATCAGCTATACACTTTAGATATATTCTATGAAAGTTTTCCACTTTCTAATCACATGAGGAACACAAATATCAGCTTCTCTGACCTATTTGACTTATACACCCTATTCTGGAAGGTTGGTCAAAGGAAAATATTTATTTTAAGAAGCACGAAAAGTTCATATGTTCTATTTTCTTTATAGAGGCTTGAGAAAACAAGTTCATATTTCTGCAGGTTTACAAAATCCAACATACAATTAGTCTTTAAATGGATACTGCATGCAGAGACTATAGTGGCTGCCCATGGTTAGGTTGCTGGCCTTGGTCCTGGAGGAGAAAACTACTTTTGGCTTTACTTTCAACATAACATCACATAATAGACATCCGGTTATAAATATTTAATAATTAATGATTGCTAGTATTTGTAGTTGGTATTAAACCAAATAATAAGCAAGTTAAATAAGAAATCCATTCATTAAAATGTTTTCAATTATTTTTTAGACTTTATATAATAAAAAGGATGCGTCATGCTAAAACTCTGGCATGTAATTTGTTCTTGTGAAAAATAGGTTTGCAGAAACAGCTTTAATTAATTTAGTCCCTGCTACATCAAAGAAGTTGCCACAAGTCACAAGATCACCAGCTGTCTTTGCCAATACATCTGGAGATTTGGGTATAAGTAGCCTGCATGCAATTTTCACAAAGTTACCTAACAGCAAAGGGCAGAGTTAAGTTCAGCAAAGGAGACTCATGGGACAGTATCGCCTTCTGGTTATACACAACTTGAATAGACCAAGGGGAGCACAACCAGCTGATACAAGCTGGAAGAGCAGCTTACATTGTTCAAGTCAGCTCTCCCTGGGGCAGAGAACCAGCAACCTAAAGCTGATTGAGAACAAAATGCATAAAACAGGAACCTGTCTGAAACTATCACTCTCAGTTATACAAGTAGCAAGGGGAGAGCAAGCACTACTTTCCCCTTTCCATTCATTCAGTAGAAATGTGACTGACCTGATCAAGGAAGCCAGTACATCATGCATTCATGAATGCTTCTGGTTGAAGCATGATTTACAATTTCTAGAAGAATTGGCTATGGAGGCATCATATCCTCTCTTTTCAATCACCATGAAAAAACAAGTTGCTATGATTTTAAAATGACCAGTCACTGTGGAAAAATCTCCTTCCTTACTTCCATCAAGTGCTAAGCTTAGTAGCTGTACAAGGCTTAGTCATCTATGAAAAAATCAGCATGAACATGTTTGATGTTAAAAGACAGCATTTCCAAAAAAAAAAAAAATCTTGTTCCAGATTTTTCTTCCAAATATTCACAAGGAAGTATAGTTGAACAGTTAGGTGTAGCTAAATAATAGTCTATGTCCTATCAGAAAAATCTTTTGTCTTTTTTTAGTATCTCCTTTATCCCTTCTTTTTTTTCCTTTTCATTCAGGCCCTTCTACTAAAACTGAAGCATCAATTGTGTTCACAGTATGTCCTGACCAGCATTCATAATAGAGGTTATAATATCCAGGTTGTTGCTAATGACATCTATGCTCCATTGCACACACAGCCTCAAAGCACACAGAGCAGCAGCACTGTGACAAATGTTTAACCTTGTGGAAATGTGTAGCAACAAAACACAGCATCACAGGGTGGCTTGGGCTTGAAGGAACCTTAAAGATCATCCAGCTCCAATCCCTTATGGCCATGGGCAGTGAAACCTTTCACTTGAGCGGGTTGCTCAGAGCTCATCCAGTCTGGTCTTGAACACTTCCAGGAATAGGACATCCATAACTTCTCTGGGCAACTTGTTCCAGTGCCTCACTATTCCCACAATAAAGAATTTCTTCCTAACATCTAATCTAAACCTACTTTCTGTCAGTTTGAAGCCATTCTGCCTTGTTTTGTCACTACATGCTCTTGAAAAGAGTCCCTCTTCATCTTTCTTATAGGATCCCCTTAGATACTGAAAGGCCACCGTGAGTTCACCCTGAAGCCTTCTCTCTTCCAGGCTGAACAATCTCAATTCTGCATGAGCAAAAGCACTGGAAAACCCTCACTCCTCCAGGGCAGAAAAGCTACTTCTTTTAGAAGTAGCACTTCTTGTCTGACGAATCTTAAATGGGATCTTGAACTGCCTGTGCCTCCAGATCTAAAGCTGATTGAACGGGCCTGTTGGCCCACAACCCAAAGGACCTATTCAGCATGGAGTGCGGCAAGACTCATGTGTAAGCTACATGGATCTCCTGGGGAAGGTTTTAATCCTTCATAGCTACAACCACAGAAGAAACTAAAAATATTTTGGACTCATCTTTACCTGTTCATGTGTACAGTTAGTATATAATAAGTAATTGTTAGTAATGGAGACTCTTAAAGCTTTTCTGAAACATGATTATGTGGGATCACATGAATAATTTGCTTTAAAATAACTGAAGTAATAACCCCTGTTTTCAAATGGGACAGAGCTTAGTGCATGGCTCAGTTCCAGAATGCATATCTCTATTTAGCTGGGCACAGCTAAAATTTGATGCTTTTAAATTATATCCTTAGACTCTTCCAGTAGTATGAGCTTTTTTTGTCTCCTATTGAGAAGAATATGCTGTCTAGGAAAAAGTGAGGAGTTATTGCATAGACTGTGAAAAACAAAATGTTAGAAGTTTCATTGAGATTGATCTCTGTTAAAAAGCACTTGAAAAATGCAAAAATCTCTAGAGGCTTTGAAGTAATTAAATAAAAACTTATGTATTTTATTATCAACACTGCTAGTAAGAATTGTACTAGATTCTACTAAGCATTACATCAAGCCCAGATGATGGGAAAAAAGCTAAATGGGATCTACAATAATTATCCAAGTTTTTGCTACTTACGTATGAAAATGAGAGCATGCTTTGATTTAGGAAAGATCTAATCAGTCGTAAGGTAGTATTTCCCCTCAGTGTTTTGCATATAAAAAGTTTAGAATATTTCATCTACTACATTATACTGTGGCAAACAACGCACATAATGGACTCATTTATTATTGGAATTTCCATTATATGAAGTTCCTCTTCAGAATGAAAACAAAATACAACATTTCCCTAGAAATAATAATTTAACCAATTAATAATTTCAATTTGTGATTAGCTGTAATGTATACACTTGTGATTTTGATATCATCATCTATGATTAGGTCCATGATAAGAGAAGTGCACGTCTAATACATTTAAATAATGTATTTTAGTTTTACTAAAATTGCTAACATATATATGAAGTATTCCCTTCCTAATTAGTAGTATCCCATCCTACATGTAAAAAAGTTCTGGGCAACGTTCCCCTTAGTACTGCTTCTGACATTTTTTCTGCTTTTTCGGCAAGATCTTTCTTTAGTTTTGCATTTCTTCTCAAGCACTAAAAATCTGTATTTAAGGTTTATAGAATGTAATAATTTGTGCAATAGATAACTGGACAAAACTAAGCTAAAGCAAACTAGGCAAAGCTAAAAGATAGATATCCAAACATCCTTATAAAGACAAGACAGGAATTTAAAGCTTTTTTTTTTTTTTTTTTTTTTTTTTTTAAACAAATCCAGCTGGGAATTGTCCAAAAGTCTGCAAATTAAAAAAAAAACCAAACTTGTCAGGAGTCTCAAAACCAGGTCCGGATGAAGCAGAAATCTTAATTAATTAACTTTTACCAAACCACTACTTCAACTAAAATATAAATGTCATTCTACCCATTTAAGAATCTTCTATGACCCTGTGTTATTATATTCATTTACTAGTCAATGATGGACATGAGCCAATTTCATGTTGAATTTTTAAGAACTTTTTCATACTGATAATGATTAGTTGTACCTTTTGCCCCTGATGTTCTCGTTGTGAATTAATAAAACTCTCTGAAGAGAAGCACACACAAAACTTTTAGCAGTGTGCTAATTCTCACTAGAGGGAATGCAGTCCTGCTGAAGGATGGACTGTGACGAAAGACATTGGCTCACACCCAGCTTCAGGGTAATCCAGCATCTCTGCTGACAGGACAGTATGACTCCTGCTTGCCTAATTAATAATGATATCCATGCTAAGTGACAGTAATAAATTTGTCCATGGGAACTAAGCATGGATCATTAGGCAGGTCCTTCCAAATTAAGGCAGAATGCCTTTTTATCACTAAATAGTGATTTCGCCTTCCCTTCTGCAGGGGTAATCTCTTCTCTTTTGAAAGACTGCTCATTCCAGAAGCAGCACTACTTCTTTTTGATTACTTGTGTCCTTTCATTTTGAGTAGGATGAGTGCATTAAATATTCGCATTTTGACTATTATTTAAATCTGCTATGATGCAGGAGGCCCTCACCTCTTGTGATAGTGAGAGTTGAGGTCTTCTATTCTACAAAGGTCTCTGCACCAGAAAACAAACATTTGCCTCTTTCATGCTCATGGCATGATTTTTACTCAGGAGATGCTGAAGAATTTTCTGGAAGTCTGATTAACCTATAAAGTTACATGTAATATAGAGAGTGGCACATATATTTTTGCCATGGAACTGTAAATGTTAGTGACACCAGTGAGCAGTTTTTGACATGAACAACAATTCATGTAAGATGTTCAAAACCATCCTACAGAGACAAAATAGACTTTGACTTTCAAGAAAATAATTTCAGCTGTTAAAATGAAGTAAGTATTCACATCTCTCATATTAATTATAACAGTTCTGCAAAACACATAAACTAGAAAATAAACAAAACCTGTTTTCTTTGTTGACTACTTTAGACAGTTCTGCCAA